GGAGTCACTGATATAAATTTATATCTAATATTGTATAAAGTTCTAACAATATAAACCCATCAAATCCCACCAAAATTTAATTAAGTTTTCATAGTCTTAAAAAAATTGGATATTTTTTCCACTTTTTTTTTTGTGTTATTAATAACTTAAATTTAATTCTTATGTTTGTAAACTATCATTATTGGTGGACATATAATTATGTACAATACTGATATGCGTATCACATGAACATCGCTCGCTCTTTTTTTTTTTTTTTTTTTTTTTTAACATGTTCTGGCTTAAGGAAGAATGCCACACCATTTTATATGAATATATTTTTTTGTAAAACTTAATTGTAATAAAATGTTACTTACATGCCATAGGTGCTTGATGTTTTAAACTTATTAATTTTTATACAAATATTCCAGTTACTTTGTATAATACATAGTGGATTTTTTATTTATGAAAAATAGGCTTAAAACATAAAGTGCCAGTGTTACATGCTGTAGTAAGGAAGGGGGTCACATACTTTATAAATTTAACAAATGAATCAATATATTTTTTTCTATTTTCTTATTCAAAACCTTTATTCCAAGGGGGGGGGGGGGATTGTGAAAAATATGTACATGCAATGTAGACCAAAATCTGGTTCAAAGTAATTGTGAACCCTATCTCCTCCAAACAAGTTTACCTCATTGCAAATTGAAAGACCCCTTCTACTTTTCACACCTTTCCTGGACATGACAAAAGAACTGTATATTTCTTGTATATTCTATGCGAATTGGAAGGTTTTACAGTTTGACACCTGGCCAGGAGAACAATAAACATGCGACTTCATAGGTATGTGTATACCAGGTGGATTATCACCTGATCTTCCTCAGATTCTACCTTAGATCTGATTTATACAGTACACATACAACAGCATTTCAGTTGACCCCCACCCCTCCACAACATATTTCATTAATTTTCTTTTTTGCACAACTGCCTCTATATGTCATCATTTGCTTTAAATATAAAATTAGCTCATATCCTAAAGTAATCCCCAAAAAGTAGATGAACTTTATTTATAAAAGTAATCTTATTTGTTAACTTTAATTTTTTCTTTTTAATTAAATTAATATTTATTGTCAAAATTTCTGTTTACCAAAAATTATGCAGTATTTATTATGATCACATGATATACATGTAATCATGACCTAAGACTACTTGTATAAAAATAATTAACAAATCAGAGGCGGCAGCTAGGCCAGAGGCATATGCTTTTAAATTCAAAATACTTGTAAATTTCTCTTCTTTCCTTCTATTTTCTACTTTATAATCATATTCTCTTCTTTTTATGATACCTATGTAAATTGGCAGAAGAATAAAATGCATGCCATATATAACCAGAAGTCTCTGTCGAGACTGAAGCTCTACTGGTTTGTACTTATAGCAGAGGAAGAGAAAAGTACTTACGCAGTTGGAAATTGAAACTTTTCAACAGCAATAAATGGAATAATGATCCTTGATTAAGTCTCTTTATGTTCTTAGTGTAGTCTACTTGCATGCCACATTATATTATAATCAGACTAAAACTGTATTTGGAGTAGCATTTTAAGAGTATTTAACAGAAATTTCTATTTTTAGTAACCATGGCAACACCATTCATTGAAGTGAAAAACTGATATACAGAATTATGTATCTTAGTGTAGTCTACTTGTTTGCCAAGTTATATTGAAATCAGACCAAAACTTTAGGAAATGTAGCATTTTGAAAGAATTTCACAGAAATTTCTATTTTTAGTAACAACAGCAACACCATTCATCAAAATCAAAAACTGATATACAGAATTATGAACCTTAGTGTAGTCTACTTATGTGCCAAGTTATATTGAAATCAGACCAAAACTGTAGGAGGAGTGGCATTTTGAAAGAATTTTACAGAAATTTCTATTTTTAGTAACAACAGCAACACCGTTCATCAAAATCAAAAACCGTTACACAGAATTATGCTTCTTAGTGTAGTCTACTTGTGTGCCAAGATATATTGAAATCAGACCAAAACTGTAGGAGAAGTAGCATTTTGAAAGAATTTCACAGAAATTTCTATTTTTAGTAACCACGGCAACACCGTTCGTCGAAATCAAAAACTGATACACAGAATTATGTATCTTAGTGTAGTCTACTTGTGTGCCAAGTTATATTGAAATCAGACCAAAACTGTAGGAGAAGTAGCATTTTGAAAGAATTTCACAGAAATTTCTATTTTTAGTAACCACGGCAACACCGTTCATAGAAATCAAAAACTGATAAACAGAATTACGTATCTTAGTGTAGTCTACTTGTGTGCCAAGTTATATTGAAATCAGACCAAAACTGTAGGAGAAGCAGCATTTTGAAATAATTTCACAGAAATTTCTATTTTTAGTAACCACGGCAACACCGTTCATCGAAATCAAAAACCGATACACAGAATTATGTATCTTAGTGTAGTCTACTTGTGTGCCAAGTTATACTGAAATCAGACCAAAACTGTAGGAGGAGTAGCATTTTGAAAAATTGTTTACAGACAGACAGACGGACAGACAGACAGACAGACAGACAGACAGACGGACGGACGACGGACGCATTACTATCGCATAAGCTCTTCTGGTCTCTGACCAGTAGAGCTAAAAACTAACACCTAAGTTCACCTGCTCGTTACATATAGCTGCAAGACTGCAGCTCTAATAGGAAAAATTGGGATGGAAAACCTAGAGCTACAGTGCCATCTATTGAAAAAAAAAACTTTTACAAGTCTGTTATTTCTCTATTTCTTTCTCTGTTTACATGCATTTAAACTAGCTGCCACCTAAAAATTTCACTGGCTTTTCCTAGCATACTTGATTTTGCAACTTTATAATTCCACTGCAAAACATTTCCCAAACCCAATGTTTACATACCTTCTGAGCCTTAAATTTAGATTATCAAAATTTTCACAGATTTATATGCATGTTTTACCAGGGTTCATGTATATACTGCCATATTTTAGAGCTACATTGAAAGAACATATAAATGTCCTATGCCGAACCTGATCTAGAATTTAGTTTAATTTAAGAAAAAAAAGAAAAGAAAAATAATTTCCTCTAATCCAAAGTACTCGATCAATTCAGGAGACTTAAAAAAAAATCAGGTCGGTGGATCCGTAAACCAAGAAATAAACAAAATGTCACCTTATATATGATCAATCAGAAATTTTGAATCAAGTCAAAAAGTTTTATCAAGATTTATATTCTAATACAGATTATAAACTGATTGATATTGATTTAGAAGAAATTATTAACTCAACTGAAATTCAAAAATTAGATAAAATCACTTCCTTGATTAAGAAAAAGATATTGAAGAAAATGAAGTTTTACAAGTTTTAAAAAATATGAAGAATGATAAATCTCCTGGAAGTGATATGGTAAAGCTGAATTTACAACTGAATTTTTTTTTAATTTTTCTGGAGTGATCTTTAAGTCTACATACATTATGCGAGCTACAAATTGTATATTGTCAAAAAAAAAGAAATTCCTATTTCACAAAGACTAGGGATAATTTCATGTATACCCAATGGGAATAAACCCAGACAATTTTTGAACAATTGGAGACCGTAACTCTACTAAATTACAGAATAAAATATACTCTGGATCTTTTGATTTCAGACACTCACACTTAATTCCTAAAAGGAAGATATTTGGGTGAAAACACCAGATTTATTTATGATTTAATGGCATACACAGAAGCTAAAAATATACAAGGATTGTTGGTTTTAATCGATTTTGAAAAAGCTTTTGATTCAATTTCATTGTTCATGGTCTTTTATTTATAAAGTATTGAACTATGTTAATTTAGGAAATAATATAATAAATTAATTGGATAAAAATTCTTAATACAAATTTTAAAGCATCTGAGTTTTGCAATGCAGATTTTTATCAGATAAGTGACATATATTATATTCATGGTGATGGGAGGGGCTTAAATAAAAAAAAATCTCTGTGCTGGTAAAAATCTCAAATCTACCAGCCCATATGATACTTGATAGCAGGGACCTAGCTACCCATGGTATATACTTTTGTTAAAAAAAGGTATTAAATGATCTGTTCAAAGTACTAGTACTATTTACAAATATATTAATAAAGTTTAGCTAAACTTGTTTAGAAATTACTAGTATATAACTTTAATTTACTAATCAAAATTGAATTGGATAAGATAAATACAGTGTATATGGTAATTTAAATTAGTCTGGCCTGAAATGGAAGTAAATGATCACCCAATCCTACATGATCACAATGATTTGATCAGTTTGTGTATAGTACACACCATCAGGTACTGTTAGTAGAGTTTGTGTTTGTCAGACAGAGTGGGGGTACAGGTAAATCATTTGCGATAGGTATACAGTATCAGGTGTGTCATGCAATGCTCAAGTCTGGAATATAATTATCAGTGTAGCTAATTATAACTTCAAGAATCAGGACTATTATAATCATAATTAAAGGTAAGAAGCTGACTTATACCCTCTTAAATACTTACATGAGTGTGGTTGTTTTTTGTAATTAGACCTTTGAAGCCATTAGGTCATGATCATGCTAATATGAATCAAACACTTTAAGTTATGAAAATGTCAATTGTTGTGATTTTGTAGGCATATAGTTTCCTCCGTACCCTGTTTAAATTCTAAAATCAAATAGTTTTAGGATAAAAGTAGAAAAGGTGTTATTACTGTTAATTATGTTAATAAGTAACCACTGTACCCATTGTAACCCGGCTACATTGACAGTCCTTCAGAAATTTTCTACTTTCATTTTCCAATGGTTTTGTACTGTACCCTAATTGTAACCTTATTGGTAAAGGATAAATAGAAGTGTACCCTAGGGTACAAAAGTATCACCTAAAAACACAGTACCAATTTCTTGCCATATATGGATTATTAGAAACAAATACATGCAACAAAAATCAGTTATACTTTACAGGTGTAGAGATCCTCCTTAATATTGATAGACAAAATAAAATAGAAAATACCTTCAAACACACATTTCACAGCCTTTTTCTGCAAGTCAGACTTAAAGTTTTTGTGTTTAAACACTCTTTTTAAAACTTCATACAATTTATCCTCCATCAGTGCAATCCATCAATCAGTGTCACTTGCGCGCTTGTAAACATTGCACACAGGATTTTTAACAAGTTTTTAAAAATTCATGGCGAATGAGTTATTGTTGTATCAGTCTGAAAGTAAGAATCTTCTAGCATGAAAGAATGAAAATTATTTAAAAATAATGAAATATATTCAGAAAATGTTTGTGAATTATGATTCATTATCACATTCCGTTTTATCCGCTTTCCTTTAGTTTTCGGTTTTGATATTTTCTACAAACATTTATGTGACATGGTAAATTTTTGACTGAAGTTGAAGTCGAAGCGAACACATCACCAATTATCTGGATATTTGTAAAACTACAAGCTTGGAAAACTTTCTCCAGTGTTAATTTAGTTTACTCTCTGGTAAGAAAAATAATTTGATTTGTTTCTCTGTAGCCCCTCCTTTAGGAAGCAGAATATCCAGCCTGCCATCACAAGTCACTTGACCCCTTTAAACAGTGTTAAAAATATTTGCATCATATTTTTTGTATAAAACAGTTTTTTTAAAAAATCAGATATTCATTAATTATTTTCAGATGAATTCAAAGTTGAAAATGATCACTGCATCAAATTGAGATTTTCTGCACACCCTGAGAAAAATGCTTTTTTATAGTTCTAAATGAATTGATTTGGTAGCTAAATATAAAGCTACCTCAGGTAGGTAAAAAAAGCAAAGTAGGTAAATCAAGCTACATAGCTAAATCTAGTGATTGTACCAGACCTGGACATTTACAGATATGCATGTATAGACTCTAATGTACGTCACATGATGTCATATGCAACCAAACCAAAGCCTGTATATATAACGTAATTTTGTTAAAAGAACATTTAATCTACTATTTATATGCAATTTTCATGAATGAATAGTTATAGGTTTTTTTTAATTTGTTAACTTTTGTAGTTACTGCGAGAACGTAGTTTATTGTTGTACAAGGACCAACCTACTAAGGGGGCGACTGAGGTGAAAATGGTCGCTTTTGAGCTCAAAACTTCGCTGTATTTATCTTGAAAGTGAAGTTTAAGTGGCCTTTACATTTGCAATCCTTTTATCATGTTTATCGAAAATCGTGAAAAATCTATTAAGAAATGTGGTAGAATCATCAGTATTTTATGAATATTGTTTTATTACTGCTGAAATAAGTGAAACAGCAGGGCACTTGCACCTGTTTTGATATTAAGGTGGGGGGGGGTGCATTGCAGTGAAAGACATCCACCTAATCCAGTCTGGTATTCTTAGATTATAGTTCCATTTTTATGGAGGTTGTTCTCAGTGTTATGTAATAAGTCAAACTTACTTACCCTTGATTGAACATCTGACAGTTTATAAATATGCAGAGGTAGAGATACATTGTAAGAATAGGTCTGGAATCAGAATGGCCTAAATAAAAAAGACATGTATTAAACTTTCCCCTCACCTCCTCTATTCTGTATGAGTATGAAACATACACTATTTACAAATATTTATGTTCCCCAAACGAAGTTGGGGAACATATTGTTTTTACTCTGTTTCTTATTATGTTCCCCAAACGAAGTTGGGGAACATATTGTTTTTACTCTGTTTCTTATTATTATTATGTTCCCCAAACGAAGTTGGGGAACATATTGTTTTTACTGTGTTTCTTATTATTATTATTCTTATTATTTTTCTTCCTGGGAAAATTTTGTCCGCGAGTGATCTTGTAAACTACACATCCAACTTAGGTGAAACCTTTTTAGGGTAAGTAGGCATGTTATGTAGATTTGCGGAATCAAGGTCATTTTGCGCGCACGTGCTTGCAAGAGCGCGCACGTGCGAAACTTAAAATGACCAATATATAATGGATATAACCGTAACTTCTCTATTTTGTGACGAAATGTTTTGAAACTTATAATGTAATGATATATTAGTAGTATGCACAAGATGACATGGTCAAAATAGCAAGATCGCACGCGCATGCACGTGCGCTTCGCTCTGATTGGCTGAAACTAAAGTCTCAATATCTTTTTTGTTTTTTGATAAAATCATTTGAAATTTTGAACATAGTCATACATTAGGGAGATCTACAGCCTGTAATACAAGATTTTTCATGAAAGCATGTGCATGCACATGTGCTTGCAAGAGCTCGCACGTGCAACACGAGAAATGTCCAATATGATTGATACAGACGTAACTATTAAAATTATTGAGGAAATGCTTTGAAACTCATTTTATAAGTATATATTAGTAGTATGCACAAGATGACATGGTCAAAATAGCAAGATCGCACGTGCATGCACGTGTGCTTCGCTCTGATTGGCTGAAACTAAAGTCTCAATATCCTTCTTGTTTCTTGTCATAATCCTTTGAAATTTTGAACATAGACCTACATTATGAAGATCTACAGCATGATATACAAGATTTTTCATGAAAGCATGCGCATGCCCGTGTGCTGAAATCTGATTGGCTGAAACTTTAAATGGCTATATCTACTTTGCTTTTTGACGAAATGCTTTGAAATTTTAAACATTGTCATGCATTAGAACATCCTACAATATGATATAGAAAAAAAATCATGAAATCACGCGCATGCACGTGTGCTGCAATCTGATTGGCTTAAACATGAAATGGCTATAACTCCCTTGATTTTCAACCAAACAGGATGGGATTTAGAATATAGATAAATGTAAGGGACTCCTACAAGAAGGTATGGTCATCATGCACGTGCACGCACGTGCGTGCATTTGGAACGAGTGAAATGAAAAATACACTTGAAAGAGTGATTTTTCATACTTTTGGACTGAATGCTTTAATATATTGTATATTAAAATATGTAGATAGTGTAGACAAGATGATATGATCATAACGCACATGCATTCACATGCGCACGGGTGCAATGCTAAAATTTGAATATAATTGGTATCCTTCTGAGAAAACGTTGTTAAAGTCAAAGTGCACAGAGTTTGTCTTATTTAATGAAGCTTACAGGGAATATGGCACCAAAAAGGAGTTGGGGAGCGTTTGGGGAACATCTGTAACGGTCCCCGTTACAATTAGCACTAGTTATTATTATTATTATTCTTTTTTTTCTTCTTTGTTCTCCGGTACTTTTTTTGTCCGCGAGTGTTCTCAGAAACTGTTCACCCAACTGAGTTAAAACCTTTTTAGGGTTAATAGGTGTGTAGTGTAGGTGTGCGGAACGAAGGTCATTTTGCGCGCATACGCATGCACGTGCATGCGCGTGCAATGAGTGAAATGACTGATATATTTTATATAGACGTTACTTTTACATTTTTTGATGAAATACTATAAAACTCATTATATAAGGATATACTAGTAGTGTAGATAATATGACATGGTCAAATTAGCACGAACTCACGCGCATGCACGTGCGCTGTGCTCTGATTGGCTGAAACAAAAGTCTCAATATCTTTCTTGTTTTTTGCCGAAATGCTTTGAAATTTTAAACAAAGTCATACAGTAGGATATGCTACAGTATGATATATAACAATTTTCACGAAAGCACGCGCATGCACGTGCGTTGCCATCTGATTGGCAAAAACTTTAAATGGCTATAACTTCCTTGATTTTCAACCAAACATGATGGGATTCAGAGCATAGTTGGACATTATAGACTCTTACAAAAAGGTATGGTTATCATGCATATGCATGCACGCGCATGCACGTGAGCTTTGCTCAGATTGGCTGAAACAGAAATCTCAATATCTTTTTTGTTTTTTGCCGAAATGCTTTGAAATTTTAAACATAGTCATGCATTAGGATATACAACAGTATGATATATAACAATTTTCACGAAAACACGCGCATGCACGTGCGCTGCAATCTGATTGGCTAAAACTTTAAATGGCTATTACTTCCTTGATTTTCAACCAAACATGATGGTATTCAGAGCATAGATAGACATTATAGACTCCTACAAAAAGGTCTGGTCATCATGCACATGCACGCGCGTGCACTTCGCTCTGATTGGTTGAAACAGAAATCTCAATATCTTTTTTGCTTTTTAACGAAATGCTTTGATATTTAAAACATAGTCATGCATTAGGATATCCTATAATTTGATAAATAATAATTTTCATGAAATCACGCACATACATGTGCGCTGTAATCTGATTGGCTTAAACTTTAAATTGTCATAACTTCCTTGGTAATCAACCAAACAGAATGGAATATAGAACGGAGATAGACATAAGGGACTCCTACAGAAATGTATGGTCATCATGCACATGCATGCACGTGCATAGAGTTCGTCTTATTTAATGAAGCTTACAGGGACTAAGGCACAAAAAGGGAGTTGGGGAGCGTTTGGGGAACATCTGTAACGGTTCCCGTTACAATTAGCCCTAGTTATTATTATTTTTCTTCTTCCTGGGAAAATTTTGTCCACGAGTGATCTTGTAAACTACACATCCGACTAAGGTAAAATGTTTTTAGGGTCAGTAGACATGTTATGTAAATTTGCCGAACGAAGGTCATTTTGCGCGCACGAGCTTGCAAGAGCGCGCACGTGCAACACGAGAAATGACCAATATAATGGATATTGCTGTAACTTTTCTTTTTTTCGATAATTTTTTTTGAAACTCATAATTTAAGGATACATTAGTAGTATAGACAAGATGGCATGGTCAAAATAGCAAGATCTCACGCGCATGCACGTGTGCTTCGCTCTGATTGGCTGAAACTAAAGTCTCAATATCTTTCTTGTTTCTTGTCATAATCTTTTGAAATTTTGAGCATCGTCCTATATTATAAAGATCTACAGCATGATATATAAAAATTTTCATTAAAGCATGCGCATGCGCGCATGCTGCAATCTGATTGGCTGAAACTTTAAATGGCTATATCTCCTTTGATTTTTGACAAAATGCTTTGAAATTTAAAACATAGCCATGCATTAGGATATCCTTCAATATGATATAGAAAAAAATTCATGAAATCACGCGCATGCACGTGTGCTGCAATCTGATTGGCTAAAAATTTATATGGCTATATCCCCTTTGTTTTTTTGACGAAATGTTTGGAATTTTAAAATATAGTCATTCATTTAGATATCCTTCAATACGATAAAGATAAAAAATTATGAAATCACGCGCATGCATGTGTGCTGCAATCTGATTGGCTGAAACTTCAAATGGCTATAACTCCCTTATTTTTCAACCAAACAGGATGGGATTTAGAACATATATAAATATAAGGGACTTCTACAAGAAGGTGTAGTCATTATGCACGTGCTTGCACGTGCGTGCACGTGAAATGAGTAAAATTAAAAATACACTCGAATGAGTGTATTTTTTAATACTTTCGGATTAAATGCTTTGATATTAAGTATATTAAAATTTTAGATAGTGTAGACAAGATAATATGGTCGTTACGCAATTGAACACGCGTGGAATGCCTATTTTTAAATATATTTTGTATTTTTCTGGGAAGACCTTGATTAAGTCTAAATTCCATAAAGTATTTCTTATTCAATAGAGATTACAGGGAATATGGCACCAAAAGGGAGTTGGGGAGCGTTTGGGGAACATCTGTAACGGTCCCCGTTACAATTAGCACTAGTTATTATTATTTTTCTTCTTCTTCTTCTTCCTGGGTACTTTTTTGTCCGGGAATGATCTCGTAAACTATACATCCGACTAAGGTGAAATGTTTTTAGGGTCAGTAGACATGTTATGTAGATTTGCGGAACGAAGGTCATTTTGCGCGCACGTGCTTGCAAGAGCGTGCACGTGCAACATGTGAAATGACCGATTTAATTAGGGCCCCGCAAGGATTTGCGGGTGCCCTATAGTAATCACTCTGTCTGTCCGTCCGTCTGTCCGTCTGTCTGTCCGTCTGTCACTCTTCCGTCCACAAATTTTCTGTTTTTTTCTAATAACTTTTTTTATGGTTGCCCAATCAAGTTTAAATTTGGTATGGTAGTTCAATAGGCAGAAATACATATTTTGATGCTAAATTTAATTCTCTATGTCTTCTGGTTTGGAGCTGGGGTGGTGGGGTAGATTCCTTAACTATGCATAAGAATGAACTTGCAACTTTTTTTATGGTTGCCCAATTAAGATCAAATTTGGTGCAGTAGTTCAGTAGGCAAAAATACATATTTTGATGCTAAGTTTGGTTCTCTATGTCCCTTGGTTTGGAGCTGGGGTGGTGGGGTAGATTCCTTAACTTTATATAAGAATGCATTGGCAAAGAGAGATAACTGCTGAAGTTGTTCCCATTCAGTAAACTGAATGCTTCTAGGAGCCCCATGGGATTAATTAGCTTTCCTCCTGAAGAAAATCCAGAGCATTATCTTTATCTGTCACATTGAGATTAATTACCACCTCTGTCTGCAAATGAAGTTTGTTTTGAAGTTAAATCAATTTGGAATGCTATGAACACTCTGAAATGTGGATCGATTTAAATATAATTTTTTATTTATTTTTGTTTGATAGTTATGATTTCATTGAATTCTAAAAAAAAAAAAAAAAATTGATTAAAGAAGATTTTTTTATTTACCAGGGTACTTTTTTTTCTCACTTTTTTCACTTTTTTTTTTAAATATATTAATTTAAGAATATTTTAAATTTTAATGTAGTTGTATAAAAACCCCATTCTATCATTAATACTGAAAAAGTTCTTATTGTAAATTTAGAAGAAAATGATGAGAGAGGTACAATTAATCCCTTGGGATTATCTAGCCTGCTGCAGAAAATTTAGTAGGCTTTTCTTTATCTGTCACTTAAGATTAATGAAAACCTTTGTCTGCAACTGCTGTTTGTTTGAAGTTAAGGTCAAGCCTTCATGATATTTGCATTCATTGAAGGCTGGCATTTTATATAACACAAGATTCATAATTGTTTGAAAATACATTCAATGTTAAGTTGTTCTTTACTGCCTAATGTAAATACAAGGATATTATTTTCAGGTTTTTGAATATTCAGGAATTATCTTGAAATTTTAAGAATACAGTTGCTGTTGCTTTTTCTTTGTACATTTATTAATCATTCTGTAAGCTGCACCCTTTTAATTCTTCCCCATGGCGGGGCCCTTGCTGACTGGTCAGTTTTCTAGTTGATATAGGCTTAACTTTTAAAATTTTTGATGAAATGCTTTGAAACTTATAATATAAGGATATATTAGAAGCATAGACAATATGACATGGTCAAAATAGCAAGATCTCACGCGCATGCACGTGCGCTTTGCTCTGATTGGCTGAAACTAAAGTCTCTATATCTTTCTTATTTTTTGACAAAATCCTTTGAAATTTTGAAAATAGCCATGCATAAGTATATCCTACAACAAGATATATAACAATTATCATGAAACACGTGCATGCACGTGCGCTGCAATCTGATTGGTTAAAACTTAAAATAGCTATACCTCCCTCGATTTTCAACCAAACAGGATGGAATTTGGAACATAGATAGATATACTGGACTACTACAAGAAAATATGGTCACAATGCACATGCATACACGTGCATGTACGTGCGCTGCAATCTGATTGGCTGAAACTTTAAACAGCTATAACTCCCTTGGTTTTCAACCAAACGGGGTGGGATTTAGAACATAGATAGATGTAACGGTCATCTACAAGAAGATATGGTCACCGTGCTCATGTATGCACGTGCGTGCACGTGAAATGAGCAAAATCAAAAAACACTTCAACGAGTGTATCTTTTTAATACTTTTGGATTAAATGCTTTAATATTTAGTATTTAAAAATATATAGATTGTGTAGACAAGATGATATGGTCATTACGCACATGCATTCACATGCGCACGCAAAATTTGAATGAACTTTGTACACTTCTGTGTAAACGTTATTAAAGTCTTAAATGCATCGAGTTTGTCTTATTTAATGAAGCTTACAGGGAATATGGCACCAAAAGGGAGTTGGGGAGCGTTTTGGGAACATCTGTAACGGTCCCCGTTACAATTAGCACTAGTTCACAATGAAATTAACAATATTTACACGTCATGCATGTACAGATTTTAAATCGATGCTCAACATTCTATTATGTTGGAACACAGTGTCGTAGTTAGCTCATAACATGCTACCGAGTTGACACAGGTAAGCATTGTGGCCTATGAGCCTATAGTTCTTTCATTTTGGGCAAACTTTTGTTAAAATAAACATATGATTGCATGTGTCGTGTCCTTTAAAGAGCTAGTGCCATGCTAGTCTAAACACCATTTATAAATGCTGATGAACTTTTTATGAAATGTCAGTTTAATTTAATCATCATAAATACCATTTTAAGTAGATAATTATATGCTCTAGCTATGTATGATAAACCCCAGTCTCTGTGTAACTTAATATAACCTTTATCTGTATACTGGTACTTTAGATAAAGTGAAATTGTATACCTTTTCTTACCGCACACAACTGTTTTGGAGTCTTTATATAAGTACATGTGCTTTTGTGAATCTGGTAAGTTTCAAAAATGCTGAGCCTGATACTTTCTTTCATTTAGATAAGGTTTAAGAAGGATACATGTATCTTAGCTGTGATCTCAATACAGAAACACAGGTCATTTCTATTACATAAAAGTCTGACATTCTATGTCTCTACAGATACTAAACTTTAACCTACATATTGAATGTGTAAATTATAAAAAGATAGTTTTGCATAACTGCATTTTTTATGTACAGAAAATATTATTTAAAATGTTTCAATTATTCTAACATCTTTTTAAAATGATATAAATTGACTTTGAATTGTACATGCAATAAGGTGGTTGAGTGTTAGAGCCGGTGTCTGTAGCATTCTTGTACAGATATCTTCACTAAAGTATACTGAATTATTTCTTCAGGGATATATTCATGCTAACTTATACAGTATATTGGTATTAAAATTTTCTGAAAGTTTAATCTCTTTTCTCAGACTAGCTGTCACATTTATACTTCAAAGCTGACATCTAAATAAGATTTTATAAATTCTATGATAAGAGTTGCATGGTAAACATGCATATATGACAGATAAATAAATCCATTTTGTTGTTAAACAGAATGACATTAATTAAATGTAAAGAATAGGAAAATATAAAATTCAAAAATTTTAGAATTATGTATTAGGTCCCTTGAATTATTTCAGTGATTTATTGCTGTATCCTTCATGTTTCATCATTGCATGAGATTGACCACATTTCCCTATCTCCACCTGCCTCACTTCAGGTCCAACTGCCACTTTCTCTTCCTCTGTTATAAGTACAAACCAGTAGACCAACAACTTGTCAAAGACTTCCTGGTTCAATTGGCAAAAATCCATATCTAAGCATGATGAGTGTGACTTGAATTATATTTTTGGTAAATATTTTTATTTGATCACTGCAGGTCAGAAGTATGAGTCAGTCTTAGTGCCATGTAACACATAATTAAGTGGATGAGGATTCCAATGAGAGCAAAGCCCAAGAATGTCCTGTTCTTGATCCTGTGTGTCTGCATCATTCCTGTGTTTTGGATCTCACTTGTAACTAAACAAAGTAAGTCTCTCAATGTATCTCTTTTATACTGTATGTGGGGTTTACATCTATGTTAAGGTCAACAGAGTCACTATAAGGTAACATACAGTACAGTACGTTGTATTGCTATCTGTTTAAGTGTTTTCAGCAGACAGCATGCATCAATTGTTAAATTTTGAACAATATTATCTATCTATGAAAAAAAGAAGTAACTGTAGCCAATTCATTCACAATATGTAGAATGTGTGGGTTAAAGATGCTTGGGCACAGGTTTGAAGTTAATAGTTTCTCAAAATTTCTGTATAATTTCATGAGATTTATCTTGCTATAGCATTTCATACTAAAATATAATAAAAATCTTAATATTTTATCTCAAAGTTATTGAAACTTTGAATTTCTGCCTTTTTCTGGATGTGTTTGATTGACACATCCTTGCACTTTCACAAATTTTAAATTCATTCTTAATACTTAAGAAAAGTAGCAATTTTGTTGTGTATTAATGAAAAATATTAAAACTATAATCCAGAAAATTCAGAGAAGTAATCTGAGAAAAAGCAAAACCTACTCACAGTATTGTAAGTCCGTGCTCAGTGGTGTGTACAGAGTTTAACAAATTGTATTGAGGGAAATTTTTTCTTTATTTTGAAAAAAGTTATTCCTGTTGGATAAGTAACCTGTGTTAATATCTCGTCTGTGTTTTATGTTTACCCACGTTAGCCATGGTTTTGGATCCAGTCAGTGTATTTGTGTTGTATGCATGCACTTAAATAATTTGTTTTGTAAGTTTGAACCTTTACAAGGATTTACCCAGGATACCTTGTTAAAAGATGTAACTTGATTTTTTGATAGATGTACCATTCCCTAGGACTGATCCTAGTGGACTGGAAGATATACAAGACAGGTTACAATTAGCAGAACATGTAAACAAGAGGAGGGAGGCAGATTTAAAAACACTCCGCAGTAATTTTCTTCAAATCTTAAAGGGAGTGATCCATGCAACTAATCAAACAAACAAGTAAGTAACAATGGTATGACAAACTGCCAACTAACCTTTGACCTAGAAAATGGTTCAAGGTCACTGCACACCCTTTACCCAAAGACACTCTGTGCGTGAAGTATGAGCCAGATTGGGCCAAGGAGAGAGATGTGCTCTGGACAAGAGATCTCGGATGGACAGACGGGCAGAAGGACTGACGAACAGAACAGACTGATCACTATAGGGTGCTCGCAAAGTGGGGTCTTAATAATGCCTTAGTCACATTGCCCGACCGGTAGCCGTAGACCGGTGGTAATCTGTGGTGTAAACAATGCCCCAACATCGGTCCACAATGGCCTAGCAGTCCTTAAAGTGTCAGACACATTATCCCATGATGGGGTATATGATGGGCAACCAATGTGTTTTTTGATAAAGATGACATGGTTGCCGGCTGGACTTACAAAGGCCCAGTGATTTATGACTAATCATAAAATGAAGTTCCAGGGTAATCGGCCTATGTATATTACATCGCTCATACATTGGTGAACATCGTTCGTATGTTGGTCGACTATGGGCGAATATTTTGTTGAACATCAACAGATGTCTGTTGCCCACCACTTAACCCCCTCAGATTCAATGGACACTTGACATTGCTCAGCCATACATCGGCCAATCCTTGAGAGATGTGTTAATGTTGGGTTGCCGATCAGGAGCGATGTGGTACATCGGTGAAGACATAGCTGATTTTTAACTTCAACTTATTTTCTACCGATGACCCCCACAGATTTGCCAAATGGCCTCAGTCACCGTCTGATTACTAAAGGTGTCCGTCCGGCAACCACGCCATTTTTATAAAAAAAATGCATCGGTTTCTCATTGTATACCCCATCGCTGGATAATGTGACTGATACTTAAGTAGTATTGAATCAATTTGCAAAGTTATGAGTAAAAGGCAAGATCATCCGTGGATATTCAACTATGATTTCTGCTTTTAATTATATACACATGTATTTCAATATGGCTTACTTTTTGAAGGTAATCTGTTGCAAAACAAATGACTGACATTATGAATTTGTCTTTGACAAAGACATATACATGTGTATAATTTTCTGCTGATAGAACTACCAAAATTGTTCCATGTGTAATTGCTAAGTGAAAACTGAAGGTTGGAATCTGTGGTTGAGCAAATGGATTGATCGAGTTTGATACAATAAATTATTGATGACTGACATATATTTTCTGCTGAAGTTCCATTTGTTTTGTAGATCCATTGCGGGTATGTTTCAGTCAGATCTGGCTTTGCAGCTTAGCAACATGAGCAACATTTCCTCTGAGAATTCCCTGCAGCTCCCCAGTCTGTTTACATACCTCCCCCACATCATCGGCAAGCCTCAGAGTCTTAGGCCTAGCTTCCAGCTGTCACAAAACAGATTTGGGGGTAAGCATTAAACAAACATTTATTGATCACAGTATCCAAAGGAGTACAGAGTGGGCTTAAGTTGGTTATATATTGAAAATCTTATTCATGGACAAGTAGCAGGGAAATTGATCGATTATAATTAGAAATGAATATAAACCTTCTACAAAATTTATAATATTCATGTCCCTCAGGTTTAAAGATACAGGTCCCAGGGCGAGGCAGGGTTGGTCATACATGTTTTTAGCTCACCTGAGCCGAAGGCTCAAGTGAGCTTTTCTGATCAAAATTTGTCCGTTGTCTGTCGTTGTCGTTGTCGTTGTTGTCGTCGTAAACTTTTCACATTTTCATCTTCTTCTCAAGAACCACTGGGCCAATTTCAACCAAACTTGGCACAAAGTATCCTTGGGTGAAGGGGATTCAAGTTTGTTCAAATGAAGGGCCACGCCCTTTTCCAAGGAGAGATAATCATGAATTTGTTAAAAATTAATGGCATTTTTAAAAAATCTTCTTCTCCAGAACCGCTGGGCCAGGAAAGATGAAACTCATGTGGAAGCAACCTCAGGTAGTGTAGATTCAAGTTTGTTCAAATCATGACCCCCGGGGCAAGGGTGGGGCCAAAATGGCCGACCCAAGTTTTACATAGGAATATATAGGAAAAATCTTTAAAAATCTTCTTCTCCAGAACCACTGGGCCAGGAAAGATGAAACTCATGTGGAATCATCCTCAAGTAGAGGAGATTTAAGTTTGTTCAAATCATGACCCCCGGGGCAAAGGTGGGGCCAAAATGGCCGACCCAAGTTTAAGTGTTTTACATAGGAATATATAGGAAAAATCTTTAAAAATCTTCTTCTCCAGAACCACTGGGCCAGGAAAGATGAAACTCATGTGGAATCATCCTCAGGTAGTGTAGATTCAAGTTTGTTCAAATCATGACCATCGGGGCAAGGGTGGGGCCAAAATGACCGACCCTAGTTTTACATAGAAATATATAGGAAAAATCTTTAAAAATCTTCTTCTCCAGAACTACTAGGACAGGAAAGATGAAACTCATGTGGAATCATCCTCATGTAGTGCAGATTCCAGTTTGTTCAAATCATGACCCCCGGGGCTAGGGTGGGGCCAAAATGGCCGACCCAAGTTTTACATAGGAATGTATAGGAAAAATCTTTAAAAATCTTCTTCTCCAGAACCACTAGGACAGGAAAGCTGAAACTCATGTGGAATCATCCTCAGGTAGTGTAGGTTCTAGTTTGTTCAAATCATGACCCCTGGGGCAAGGGTGGGGCCAAAAAGGCCGACCGAAGTTTAACATAGGAATATATATTAGGAAAAATCTTTAAAAATCTTCTTCTCCAGAACCACTGGACCAGGAAAGATAAAACTCATGTGGAATCATCCTCAGGTAGTGCAGATTCAAGTTTGTTCAAATCATGACCCCCGGGCCTAGGGTGGGGCCAAAATGGCCGACCCAAGTTTTACATAGGAATATATAGGAAAAATCTTTAAAAATCTTCTTCTTCAGAACCACTGGGCCAGGAAAGATAAAACTCATGTGGAATCATCCTCAGGTAGAGCAGATTTAAATTTGTTCAAATCATGACCCCCGGGGCTAGGGTGGGGCCCAAAATGGCCGACCCAAGTTTTACATAGGGATATATAGGGAAACCTTTTAAAATCTTCTTTACAAGTACTTCAAAGCTGGGATTAGTGATATTTATATGGAATCATCCTCAGGTAGTGTAGATTCTAGTTTGTTCAAATGATGAACGCCTGGAGGGGTGGGGGTGGGGGGGGGGGAGTAAATTCAAGCCTGATGTGCTCAGGTGAGCGCTGTGGCCCCTGGGCCTCTTGTTTTAAATCCATTATACTCTTGACACCTCATCTTCCAGGAAACAAGCTGTAGGAATGTGATAATGATAGTAGAGTCTCACCAATAAAAATGTTGTCACCCGAGTCCTGATCAGCTCCTGGTTGGGCCAAAGTGGCCATAACTTGAAAAACTCATGATCCTGGGGTGACTTTAACACAAGTACACTTATTAACTAAGAAACAAATACCATTGTTCTGAATGCTGTAATTCTTGATTTTAATTAAGCCCATCACAAGTATGTTTGAGGCATATGGTGGTTATTTTTTTTTATGTCTGTTCTCCTTCTGATTGTTTCTTTGCCCTTCTTAATTTGCATTCAGCTCAAGTTCAAAGAAAGTACATGTACCATATATCCGTTTTTTTTTCATGTATTGGAAATTTTGCGAAAAAGGGGTAGATTTGTAGTTTTTATTTTGCTTAAGTTATTTTTTATGATTAAAGATTTTTAAAAAAATGGTAATGATTTTATGTCATATTTTAGCTGACATAATTTCAGCATGTTTTAAATTGTGCGAGTTAAAAATGATCGCAGAAAAAGTGAAAAATAGATAAAAACCCCCCCCCCCCCCCCCCCCCCCCCACGGATATACGGTATTTGAAATTCTTAGACTAATCAATATTGATTAAAAGTATTCAACTATCACATTGGCATAATTTTTCTGTGACTCCCTATAGTTGTAATTTAAAAGTAACTACCGGGTAGTAAGTAACTGTCCAAACTCTCACACTAATACATACTGGTAAGAACTTTTCATGCCTTGAACTTCTCTATGACCTTGACTGCACTTTTCCTCATTTTGCATTTAATATAAGAGATATTTTTTGATAGTAAAACTTAATCATTTGCTTTGTGATGTTAACAATTTTAGTGAAGTTTGGTAGCAAAACAAAATATGTATGGGTTAACCATTATAGAAATGTTTAGGAGTGTGTTCAACAGCGTAGCTGCTATATAAAGTTACTCTCTTGAATGGAGAGCTAGCTTAGCTGCTATATAAAGTTACTCTCTTGAATGGAGAGCTAGCTTAGCTGCTATGTAGGGTGAGCTATCATAAATATTTTATGCTAAATTCCAAATCCAAGATGGCCTCCTTGTAATAAAATATGGAATAATTTTGTACATTTTAGTGAATTAAATGTGAATATATATATATATATTTTTTGTTTGATTAAAGTAAACATTTTTTGGTTCCATCAATAAGTTAATACTGATACATTTTTATCCCAAATTTAACATTTAACTGCTAGGCTAGGGTCCGTTTAATAGAGATAGATATCTACGGGTGCCCATCACCTATCTGCTAGGTTAGCCACTACGTGTTGAACAATCCTGTATCTATAAATGAAAATCACACAATGTATAGTTACATACAGCTACATGTATTGCGAATCTAGTGTGGACAATTAAGGACATACGCAAGGTACCTTACCTACTGATAATTTTTCCAAGATATTCTAAATTTAAACTTATAATACCATTACATGTTCTTAGACAAAAAATTAGAAATTTTTTGCATTATTCAAAGAAAAATGTACAGAAATTACAAAACATAATTTCCAGATTTTTTTTCATCAAAATTTGTTTGAGAAGAGGTGTACAAATCCATATATAGACATTAAAAGTATTGCACACAGGTCCTTCATTTAGTGGAACTCTTCAACTCCAGGGAAGAACCCAGTAAAGTAAAAACTACGTTGCATATGACCTTAAGGCAAACTTGTTGGGAAACAATTACAGACCTTGGATACTTCAGAAAACACAACCAACAACATCTTTATAAATTGTATGATAATTAATTAAAAAGATCAAGTCACTATATCCTTTTCATTAAATGAATATGTATGTACTACACTGTAATTGAAAAATTGGCTCCTACAAACAAGGAAGACTGGAAATCATTCATATCAATGTTGTGTATGATTAAAAGCAGTTGAATAAAAGAATTGTCAATTTGATTTGTTTATAAGTATGTTCTTGAAATTTGAATGTTATGTTACAGTATCTATTGTGATTGGAATTCCCACGATTCGTCGTGATAAGAGTAGTTACCTACAACAGACTGTTAAATCACTGGTTCAGGGCATGTCAGCTGAGGAACGCAAGGAGTGTCTGATCATAGTCTTCGTGGCCGAGGTCTTGTTATCTCTGTCAACTGATAAAACACTTCCTCATTGAGATTAAAGAAAACTTACAGCAGGAGATAAAAGATTGATTTCAAATTAAAACAATAGTTTTAAATTTTTTGTAATGTTCATGATTCAAAAAAAAAAAAATTCCCAGATTTAAAATAAGGAGAAGAATTTCTATTAATGTTTTGTTGGTATATTATTACTATAGATTTATATCTTGGTATTATAGGTGTTCAGTATTCTGTGTTTATAAATGATACCCCCACTTATTTCACCAATTTTGCTGAATTTTTCTATGTTTACAGCCTAATGATCCTCAGTATGTCAAAGATGTGGCTGAAAGTCTGAAAAAGCAGTAAGTCTTAAACCTCTTTTATGTTCAGACAACATTTAGAAATTTAGCAAGGATATAGGCCAGTTTTCCTCTACGACAACAACTTAGCAATCATATGAATTTCTTTTTTATGTAAATAAGAACTAGCCCAGCTGATGCATAAGAAATAAAAACATGTAAGACAGGCTTGGGTGAAATGAATCCATGGTTTTATTTAATAGTTGAACACACATGTAGAGTATGAAACATTACATAATTTGAAAAATGTGGAATAAAACCATGCTCCAAGAGCTAACTAACAAACTAACTAAAACTAAACTAATCTTTAATGCCAAGCCCCCATCTATGATTCTGAATTGACTGAATGTGACTTTTTCAGAGCTGCCAACCCTTACGATTTTGGCGTAAGGCGTACGAAATCAGCGTCTAAAATACGCCTTACGATTTGTCTCTATATTCTTCCGATTGCAGTTTTTTTTTCAATCAAAGTCTATAATACCCGTATTTTCATAGCTGGCAGTCTATATAGTTTCTACTATTATAATATGTTCATTATTCTTACAATGCTTGCTTGTAACATCGTTTCGGTTTTTGAAGGCCAATCACATTCATGTCAATGTTTTAAAGTAAACAGAATAGAAACATGCCTCAAATTGCATGTTCATTTACAAAACAACATCAGCGGCAGAGGGCCTAGGTGGTCCGTAGACCTCGCCTTACTATTTGTCATTTCAGAATGTTGGCAGCTCTGCTTTTTTGAAAATGGCAGAAGAAGAAGCTAGAATCATTATCTATTCTTCCTGTTTCTGTAAGGCAGTGTATACTTATATGTACTGGACATTTCATTTTGCAGAAGGCCAAACTTCTTAGAACAAATTAAATTCTCTGAGAACATTTTGTCATTTTTCATTTCATTGACTAGACAAACTTAAACTTTGAAGAGAGATTAGATCTGTCCTTTGTGTCAATTTAAGTGTCCCAAAGTAAATTAGAAGTATTGCCATCCTCAATACGCAAGTTTCAAGATTATCTTCCTTGGTGCGCTCTTTCGTTGAGGAGGGGAGTTTCGTTGCCGCGTAAACAGACAGGTGGGGCAGATATTTATATATTGGATACATTGTGTCATCGATATACTGGTTTATCAAAACTACATGATTGTCAGGATGTACACTACAACTTGTGAATAACCGAATTAATGTAAAGACATCATTTTTAAAAGCAAAAAAAAAAAAGTAACAAAAAAGAAAATATCAGTGGATGTGAGACTTTTCATACGAGGGAAGAGATATGGACCTCTAATAAATACGGTGCACATCGGCAATCTAAATGAAACATTGATTCTTTTCCTTATTATAACTTCAAAAAACCCTTTAACTATTTAGAAAATGTTTGTACAATCAAGAAAATGGGTTATTTTTTATAAGGACTACGGTGTTTCTTTCGTTTTCAAGTACCCTATAATTGAAAGTTGATTTGTAAATATACATAATTGAGCTTGATAAAATCATCAAATGCATCACTGCTTAACATTATAATCTTTCGATAACATTTAATAAATTTTAAGAACCATAAATATCGTTCTTTTATTTATGCACGTTTGTATACAGAAACAACCTGTCCCACCTCCATGCTGAAATGGATACTTTTTGTGCCTCTATCGTAGGAGAGTTACAATCTCGAAACTCGCAAATTAGGAACACCTACCAAGTGCATATATATTTATCTTATTCTTTTTTATTCATTATCATAATTAAAAACTTAATTGTGTGACTTATTTTGTACGATATATTGTAGATTTCCAGAGGAGCTACAGAGTGGTCTGCTAGAAGTGATAGCTCCCCCTGCTGAGTTTTACCCTGACTTTAACAATATCAAACAAACGTACGGGGATACCAAGGAAAGGGTCAGGTAAGTAGTCAGAAAGAATCAGCAAAATCTATTGAAGTTCAAACCTATCCTCTGTACAATGCACTGGTAGCATAAAATCTTGTACTATAAAATCTGTGGGACATGTTTATTATGATAAATTAAATATGAAGGCTTTTAGATATCAAGGGTGATAACAAGGGTGAAGAGACTTCTTTTTATGTTAAAAGTATACATGCTATAACTTGCGCCAGTTTAAATAAGATTGGAAATTTAATTATTTTGTTTATCAATAAAATTTACGAAAATACTGTAAATTACATGACTAAAATTAAACGCATTATAAAGTTATCAAATTATAATTATTTATAACCCTGCTAGGAGAGAAATGGCTATTTTTAAATAAATCCATCATGTGACGCCGTCGCTACTTTTAGATTGATAAACAAACATGGCTTGAAGAAAACAAGGTAGGCCGTTTGAGATACTACTCACTTTTGATGTGGATGGCAAATGTCTTACTCTTAATGATACATATATTTTAATGTAATCAGTATCAACCATCTACTCAAATATGATGCATATTAACCTTTTATTAATAATTGTTGCCATAATGCAACATACCTCGTTGTCTGTGATTTCCGGTGGACATGCGTGTCTATATATAGGCTTACTGTTTATGCACTTCCTTCGTCAATATTCATGAAAAGACTGAATTATTAATTTTCAGATATTGCTTAATTGTTTTGTTATTAAAACAACGTCTATAGTAAAAAAATTTTCTCATTGCACTTTATGTGTTTCAAATCATTAATCATTTTGTTTCTGATCACACAAAATTTGGCATTCATATAGCATGTATTACTTTAACTTTTCTCTCTTGTTTATGTTGTTAACTTTTCTCTCTATTGTAACAGATGGCGGACTAAGCAGAACCTGGACTTTTCCTTCCTTATGATGTACGCAAGGAGTAAAGCCATTTATTATGTACAGGTAAACATACAGACCAAGAGTTTATTATTCTACTGGAGAATTTTATACCTACAAATCTCTTTCTTTATTCCGTTTCACAATTATTTCACATTTACTGATAGAAAAAATCTCAAACGATTTTTTTTTTTTGAATTAAAGCATGAAAACTATTCAGAATTTTAACAACTGTTGTGGTCTCTATCTTTGATTTTATATTACTGTAATGATGAATTAACTTAATTTAAGCTCTTGCCAATAAAGACTAAGGAACCATTATAAATTCAGAATATACAGCCCTGACAAGGAAGCTATTAGAGATGAATTTTGTGCATGTTGTCATTGTTCATAGTGTTAACATGCTATAACACTGGAATGATTATGTGAATGAATGTATTTGCATTTTGTTTGAATACCTCTAGCTATTTTTGGGAATGTTTATTAATGTTTCAGATTAAAGAGTTTTGGTAAATGTGCCACACATTTTTTTGTTTACTTTTTCTTTTCTTATTCTTTTTCTAATTGAGTTATTTTCTTTAATATGAATTATAAACATTTATCACATGTTTTACCATTTCAGTCAGTAAGTTAACACCTAGAAGATTCATGAATTAAAATTCAGAATATGAAAATGTATTTGAATTTGGACAAATGTAATGAAATTTAAATTGCAAAATCACTTATTGTATATACATGCAGTGTATAAAGTTCAGAAATTCATAAAGTGTCCAGTTAAAGATAAAAATCAGGATAAAGAAAATATTAGAACTCTCTCATGTGGGACCTCTTCTTCTCATCCAATAATTATCTTTGTCAGCGAGATCATCATGTAACTACTTATTAATAATTTATCATAACAAAATGATAACATTGTGGCATTGGTATTAAGAACTAGTGGAACGCCTTACAGACTTCAAGCACAAGTAATCATAAATGTACACATTTAACTCTTTACAACTTACTGAACTGTGACGCAACATACACTTAATGTCACGTCATAAAAATATGACTTTACCGTTTCCACGCAAGCACTATATGGCCACAATATGGTACAAGTTTTTCTAATTTAGGGTAAATAATATTATGACATAATATTTTAATAAGAAAACAACTTTTCTTTGATTTAAGCAAGTATAAAATAGATGGAATTTGGCAATAAATTGAAGATTAAATGAACTTTTTAAAGTGCATGAAATGCGTGATTGCAGGGAAACGGTATATGCATGATTTTGCCTTAGAAATAGGAAATGGTATATGCGTTAAAATGCGTGACTGCGGGGAAGGGAGTTAAAATTTGAAAAGGTTATCTCAAATTAACAAAGGAAGTTAGAATTAAAGTGAGCACAATATCAAGCAAACTGTATGATTTCCATGGCAGAGGAAAAGTATTGTATTATTTATATCATAAGATACCCTGGCCCTGTACATGCCTTATTTGTCATTGTTTGTAGAGAGTGGGAAGGGTTTAGGCAGATCTACACTCTCTAGTAGTGGGACAGTACTTAAACACCCAATTTTATGTTAACGCCCCCAAAATCTACCTGATTGAAGATCAATAATTTACCGCCTGTCAATCATTAAAAAAACAATAGCTTCTGATTTGATTGACAGCTCAGCTACCTGTGCTTCCTGATAATCTGAGTTTGCATGTTTTGAAAACAATTACCTGGTCACGCGTCAAACGCTTTCATGTACCCGCATAGTATACACGCGGATTAGAAAACTCCAATATGTTTGAATTTTATTTAAAAAATAATTGAAAGTAGATTATTAAAACATTGACATAATAAAATATTTCTTTTCTATCTTCATTGCTGTTTGTTACTTGTAAGTGTTATATCGTCCACGTTTATCTGTAGAAAAAAAGACCGCGTCCACAGAAACCGTCTCTATATTTTTGCCGTAATTATAGAAGTCCGACGAATTAAATTATTTTTTAAGAAATGGGATATAAGAAAAATATTCAGCACTGATAAACGGCATAGCATAGTTTTTAAAAGATGTTTTATTTTGTAATATTATACTTTCATGTAAATTACACGAATCTGATTCGTCGAGAAACATTTGATAAAAAACACTACTCCCCGCTGAATAATGAAGCCATGCCCTCCTGCATAGCAACAGTCACCATTGCTTGACGACGGGTGGTATTCCAAAAAATAGCGACTGCGCGGAATTTATGCGCGCACGGTTCACTGTAATATGTATTTGTATAAAACATTCAGTATAATATAATAAATATTGCATGTAGTTGAGTGTAATATTTAAAATTTTCACCCCTCAAAAAACATTGTCAAACTCGGCTGCGCCTCGGTTGACAATGGTGAAAATTTTCAATGTTACACTCAACTACATGCAATATTTATATACTATGGCTACAATCCGCACGATGTTGCACAGAAATTGATGTCAGAATTAATGCTCGAATTTCCTCTAGCGTCTGAATATACACGTAATGAAAATGTGAAGATAATTAATAGTGACCGATTCTGAAAAGAAGTCTTTTTTTACAATAAAATTTTGTTAACACACGAAGAATAAAAAATATGGAATATTTTGGACAACATTGTTAGCCATAAAAAAAAACCAACATTCCGATCGCAGTAAATGCATGTTCACATGCACGACGAATAGGTGGATCAATATTTTTTTTTTTTCAATAGTCAGACTTTTTAAATCAATATTGATTTCTTTTATTGAAGATTAAAAAAGATAAATATTATTGATTTGTAGTTTTTACTCGTGAATTTTTCTTTTATGCAAGGAAAACATTTTCTAAAACGATATACATGAATCTTATTATTTTTTTTCCTTCAAAACATTACTATGATTACGATGAAAGCATTTAGTTTACAAATAAATTCCATATTAAAACTAGTGCTAATTGTAACGGGGACCGTTACAGATGTTCCCCAAACGCTCCCCAACTCCCTTTTGGTGCCATATTCCCTGTAAGCTTCATTAAATAAGACAAACTCGATGCATCTGAGATTTTAATAACATTTACAAAGAAGTGTACAAAAATCATTTAAACTTTAGCATTGCACGCTTGCACATGTGAATGCATTTGCGTCATGACCATATCATCTTGTCTACACAATCTATATTTTTAATACACTGAATATTAAAGTATTTAATCCAAAATTATTTTAAAAATACGCTCATTCAAGTGTATGTTTGATTTTACACATTTCACGTGCACGCACGTGCATACATGAGCATGGTGACCATACCTTCTTGTAGAAATCCATTACATCTATCTATGTTCTAAATTCCACCCCGTTTGGGTGAAAACTAAGGGAGTTATAGCTGTTTAAAGTTTCAGCCAATCAGATTGCAGCACATGTACACGCATGTGTATGCATGTGCATGTTGACCATACCTACTTGTAGAAGTCCATTATATCTATCTATGTTCCAAATCCCATCCTGTTTGGTTGAAAACCGAGGGAGTTATAGCTGTTTAAAGTTTAAGCCAATCAGATTGCAGCGCACGTGCATGCACGTGTTTTCATGATAATTGCTTTATTCCATTTTGTAGGATATCCAAATGCATGGCTATGTTCAAAATTTCAAAGGATTTCCTCAAAAAACAAGAAAGATATTGAGACTTTAGTTGCAGCCAATCAGAGCGAAGTGCACGTGCATGCGCGTGAGATCTTGCTATTTTCACTATGTCGTCATGTCTATACTACTAATATATCCTCACATTATGAGTTTCAAAGCATTTCATCTAAAAATAGAACAGTTGTGGCTATATCTATTATATTGGTCATTTCACGTGTTGCACGTGCACGCTCTTGCAAGCACGTGCGCGCAAAATGACCTTGACGCAAATTTACATAACATGTCTACTAACCCTAAAAAGGTTTTACCTACATCGGACGAACAGTTTACAAGATCATTCCCGGACAAAAAAGTTCCAGGAAGAAGAAGAAGAAGAAAAATAATAATAATAATAATAATAAGAAACAGAGTAAAAACAATATGTTCCCCAACTTCGTTTGGGGAACATAATAATTATTTTACGTAGTTTCACTCAAAACCAGAAACAAAACACGTAATGTTGACCCTGATTACCAAACACAGACTTCCTGTGTAATGCTACATATACACAGATTTTTGACATCTTGGGTATTGGGGGTCTCCAGGTAAATAGCACCACTGTTACTTTGACCACTCCCCCTCCTCAGGTAACCGTACGGTAAAAAAATTGGGTCTTTATCAATATGGAACTATATAGGTATAAACATCTGGGAATTGTTGGTGCATAAACATGTGATAAAAAGGATCACAACTGTTGTCATTGGATAATGATTTTCATTTACCGTGAATCACTTTTATTCGTGAGAACTTAATTTTCTTGTAATTACATGAGACAGACAGCTTGTGAAAATTTCACTCTTGATTTTTTTATGTATCTAGATTATATAAAGCAATAACAAGAATTCATGAAAATTTCATCCCAATTATAATTACCAAATAACTTCTTCACAAATATAAGATGTTGCAAAGAACTGATCAAAAACAAAATCCAGTTTTATTTCTTACAACCAAAGTCTTGTTTTAAGAACCAATTTATGGATGAATTTCATATTCATTGACAAAACAGTGGAGATCTTACATGTATAACTTGCATGCAAATTGTAGTGTTAAACTGCATATACATGTAGTCATGTACAGTGTATTTGTGTAAACTAATGACTGTATTGTAATTTGAGCTGAGATTTGAGTGCTGTTTTGTTGTATTCATTAACATTGATGTATCACAGCAATACTTGTATCACATATGTGAGTAAATTTGTCCACCTCACATCATGTAATGTTAACAATACAACCTTAACAAGTTTGATATACTAATAATGTTTGTTTTAGTTTTGTGTTTGACTACTGGCTATTTGGATATTTTAAAATTCAAAAACAAGGAAAATCAGTAACGTTGCTTATGTGGATAGTCATTAAATTATTGGTATAAGAACTTGTCGCATTTTTTTATTACAATGCATAGAAGTTTAATTGTTAAATCCAAAGTTACAGTGTTTTTAAATAATTCAAAATTTATTCTAAGTTCTTTTTTGTTTTTTAGCTCACCTGAGCCAAAGGCTCAAGTGAGCTTTTCTGATCACATTTTGTCCGGCGTCCGTCTGTCTAGCTGTCCGTCTGTCCGTCTGTCTGTAAACTTTTCACATTTTCAACTTCTTCTCAAGAACCCCTGGGCAAATTTCAACCAAACTTGCCAAAAAGCATCCTTGGGTAAAGGGGATTCAAGTTTGTTCAAATAAAGGGCCACGTCCTCATTCAAGGGGAGATAATTGAGAATTACTGAAAATTTGGGGGTATGTTTTAAAAATCTTCTTCTCAAGAACCACTGTGCCAGGAAAGATGAAACTTATGGGGAAACATCCTCAAATAGTGTAGATTTAAGTTTGTTCAAATCATGACCCCCGGGGGTAGGGCGGGGCCACAATGGCCGACCAAAGTTTTATATAGAAATATATAGGAAAATTCTTTAAAAATCTTCTTCTTAAGAACAGCAAAGCCATAATTGCTCATACTTATATGTAAGCATCCCCAGGTAGTGTATATTCAAGTTTGTTCAAATCATGACCCCCGGGGTTAGGGCGGGGCGACAATGGCCGACCAAAGTTTTATATAGAAATATATAGGAAAATTCTTTAAAAAATCCTTCTTAAGAACAGCAAAGCCATAATTGCTCATATTTATATGGAAGCATCCCCAGGTAGTGTAGATACAAGTTTGTTCAAATCGTGACCCCTGGGGGTAGGGCAGGGCCACAATGGCCGACCAAAATTTTTTATAGAAATATATAGGAAAATTCTTTAAAAATCTTCTTCTCAAGAACAGAAAAGCCATAATTGCTCATATTTATTTGGCAGCATCCCCAGGTAGTGTAGATTCAGATTTGTTCAAATCATGACCCCCAGGGGTAGGGCAGGGCCACAATGGCCGACCAAAGTTTTATATAGAAATATTAAGGAAAATTCTTTAAAAATCTTCTTCTCAAGAACAGCAAAGCCATATTTGCTCATATTTATATGGAAGCATCCCCAGGTAGTGTAGATTAAAATTTGTTCAAATCATGACCCCCGGGGGTAGGGCGGGGCGACAATGGCCGACCAAAGTTTTATATAGAAATATATAGGAAAATTCTTTAAAAATCTTCAAAACCTTCTCTCAAGAATAGCAAAGCCATAATTGCTCATATTTATATGGAAGCATCCCAAGGTAGTGTATATTCAAGTTTGTTCAAATCATGACCCCCGGGGGTAGGGCGGGGCCAAACTTTTGGATTCAAACTTTTCAGTAGTAAACCAATTTCTACTTTTCCTAGCCACAATGCTCGGGTGAGCGATGTGGCCCATGGGCCTCTTGTATTTGTTCATGTTCTTTATGTTGTTTTTTTTATAACTGTAATGCACATGTAAGTTGTTTAGTAAATTAACAATACTGAAAATGAATGAATATTAAATTATATAGATTTTATTAGGAAATTTTTGAATAAAAAAAGAGATGCGTGTTATGAAATATGTTTATTAGATAATTATTTGGTGAGTGGGGGATATTCTGGAATCACCCTGTCCGTCCATCTGTCTGTAGACACAAGGTAAAGCTGTCAGTTTCTGGCTTCTAAGTCAGAGTTACAGGTACCTATGGATACTTATGTTGATGCATGTTTCAGATGCTGCCCCTTTTGTTCATTTCATGCTTTAGTGACATTTCAGTGTATAGGCTAATTCCTGGCTCATCTCCAAGAAAATTATAAAAAGCAAACTCAGAGGTATTATGTATCAGTGGAAACCTACTCAGTAGTGTATAGTTTGATGGAAGCTGCATATGATCTACATTTTTTGCTTCCAAAACTAACAAATTCAATGCTTGGGTTTGTCCTGGTACACAGGTGGATCTGATGTAATGGATGCTTCACATACTGCTGCGGGATCCTAATTAAGCAACATTTTACATTTGACTAACTGACCACAGTGTCAGCATTTTCATGTCTTATCCAGGATATTGAAATTAAACTTGAGCATATGGTAGTGATTGTAGTTTATAAGGATCAGCAAACATATAAAAAAAAGTTTTAAAACTCCATTATGCACTCATGGCACCTCTATGAATGTGTTGCTTGATAGTGCTGGCATGGTTTGTTGCATCTATAGTGTACCTAAGATTTAACAGTTTTCATTTTATGTAACTGAGGGGGTGTCAGTCCCATTAGGACAAATCTACTACATTTCTTTTTTCTGTTGAATGTTGTATTTATGGATTTGCCTGGTAGTAGACTGATTTAGACATTTTTATATGCATGATTTGTTAAATATTATCTCCATTATCAGGATTACAATACACCAGTTTCTTGCTAACTCAGACATGTAATTATTTCTCTTTACATCTATGGTGTAGTTGGAAGATGATGTGATATCCAAGCCAGGCTACTTCACCATCATGAAGACTTTTGCTGAACAGCAGAGCTCCACTACCTGGATATTGTTAGAGTTCTCAACCTTAGGCTTTATAGGTAATCCTCCCAAGTTAACTGAGTTTGATTTATTATAGGAATTTATAATTATATTAATGAACTTATTAGATTGAGCAGTCTATTACCTGTTTTGTTACATAGGTAAAATGTTCAAATCGAAAGATTTGCCGGTGGTGGTGGAATTTTTCCTGATGTTTTACCAGGACAAGCCCATTGATTGGTTGTTAGATTATTTCCTGGCTGTTAAAGTCTGTAATCCAGAGAAAGACCATGTAAGTCACCACAAGAAAGATCTTTGTTATAGACAATCTCATATTAAGTTTATTATGTGTGACATCTTGTTCCTAAATTTGAAATGTTTTTAATTTAGAAACACTGCAGTCGAATGAAAGGAGAAATGCGTCGGAGATATAAACCTTCTCTCTTCCAACATGTAGGGACACATTCCTCTCTCAAAGGAAAGGTCCAGAAATTGAAGGTGAGTGTAATGTATCTTAAAGCCCCTCTGTTTTGTTGTAATTTTGTAGCTAAACTTTATTTTCTGTTTTTGTTCTGTTTTTTTTTTTTGGCTTTTATGTAGTTGAAAACCTCTAACTATGTCAGACTTGCTTTCAATTAGTGTTAAAACTTGGTCTTAGAAACACGTATGTTTAGTGTGTGGATAACTCAAGTAGCTAAGCTCAAACTAATTTTCTAATCCTCAGGAGAAAGATTTTGGAAAGCTGATGTTACACCGTGCCCATGCTAATCCTCGGGCTGAGCTAAGCACAAACCTGAAAGCTTATCAGAAGTTTACTCTGAGGAAAGCCTACATCGGGGAGGATGTTTTCTGGGCCCCAACACCTGCCAAGGGGGACTTCATCCAGATCAAGTTACAACCTCCTGTAAATGTAGAGGAGTAAGTAGTCACTAAATCATGATTGTGTTACGTAAGGGGAGGGCATAAGGCTAAATAGTTTTGTAACTGATAACTATATATTTGAATTTTTTTTATCTTGCTAATGATTGTGTTATGATTCTTTACAAAAAAAATGCAGTTCATTTTCTCATGAACTACGTTACGTATGTACCACGAATAAGCATGAAATCTCCATTGTTATGTCACAATACCGCTCTTGATGTTGAAAAATATAGTGCACGCTGTTTTGCTTTAAAAATGACAGTTGAATGGCGTAATTTGTGATAACTTATCAGAAAATAATGTAAAGCTAACGCGCTTCATGAAGTATGCCGGCGTGAAGCGTCGTAGTTCATAACCTCATGAATCTTCAAAAATTAAATTCATTTCTTAATTACCCTTGAAAAATCACACATAAACACACACACGCAAGATATCTTAAAGTACTTTTTCTGTACTTTTAATGGTACAATTGAGTGTGACAGTACTTAACCTAGGTTAAATGTGAGTCCTTCATGTAGATTAATCTACAATACCTATAGGCTGGTGCAGACTTAGCAGAGAATAGGTAGCTATACAACAAATGACTAGACTATCAGGATGGATCAATTGTCTAATCGCCAGATAACCCTTTAGACCAATGGCCTTTTTTATGCATTTTCAATATTTATTACATACTTAGTAATAAATACAGGATTTTTGCATATGCGATATGCCTGACGTCACAATAGCCGTATCAGCCCTGCAGGGCTGATTTTAACTTTTTTAATGTAAGGATAATCTAATTAACACATAATAGATTATTTTCAAATTACGGATCGGGCACATTTGAAATAGAAGTACATGTAGAAACAAACCAAAACCGTATGAGACAGTAAGCCGTGTACATGTAAGAAGTCCGTGCATGATTATTTACTTATTTTCTTCTCAACTTAATGTGCTCTGTATTTTATTACTGAGTATGTAATAAACATAATAAAACATACCCTTTTCCACATCACACTGTATCATCATGAAATCCACCAAGGGCCGAAGGCCCTAGAAGGTATTTGTGGTACAGGATGTGATATGGAAAAGGCTATGTATTATTCTCTATATATAGCACCATCATGAAATCCACCAAGTTTAGAAGGTATTTGTGGTGGGTCAGCTTTATGAGATGAAAATAAGCAAGGAGTCCTAGTATACTTAAAATATATATTTTATGGATAAAAAAATAAGGATCTTCATACATTACAATTTTTAGTGCATTTAATACTTTGAAGGTATCAGTTGTTAAATGTGATGCCTGTTTCAATATAAAAAAAAGTAAAATGGTATGACAATACAGATCTGTAAAATTTTTCTCACCCAGGATTTTGTTCCGGACTGGAAACCCTGACCATAAGGCTGATATTCTGCTGAATGGATCCGTGCTCATCAAACCCGAGGAGTCCACTACTCCATCTGATGTGTTACTACAGGCAGGATTCACTGTAACCGGTACGGGATTCTATATGGTGGCTACATTCACAGATGGACTTGCTCAAATCAAGTTTAGTGAAGACATTGGAAAAATTCAATACATAAAAGTTTTGGTGGAGGCAAACAACGAAAACTGGATGATTGTCAGTGAGGTATGTACACCCCCACCCCAGTTATGCTGGTGCCTGGTGGTTCATCACTCTGTATTTCTCTCTGCTACTCGATAGTGCGTTTCACAAAACAAACAATATGCTAAAACTGATATATTTTCCATGGAGCTCTTGATCAAAACTAGAATGTAAATCTCGTGTGTAAGAATTAAAGATATGTGTGAAATAAAACATTAATAGGCAACCAAAGTAAACTTTACAAAATTTTCTTCACAAAAGTCATACCGCTTGGGTAGTACTTGTACCGTATAAGTGGAAATTTTAGCGAGACGCAAATTTAGCGATTTGTCTTTAAAAACTGGTAATTTATTTTTAGCGAGATGTTATTTTAGCGATTTTTAAAATGCACATTTAAGAAGCTATTACAAATAAAATGCAAGTAATTTTTAGCGAAATTCAATTTCAGCAATCGCTAATAATGCCAAAATTAAAAGAGAAATTTCTACTTATACGATATATAAATGTATGATTTTACTTTTCAGATCCATATAAAAGAGAGAAAGTCTGTACCCTCCCAGAGATAACACAGGTCCTTCAGAGCTTCCTGCATGCCTTCAGAAACATTTAGTCAGTTCAGCTTTTTGCAGAGAGGCCTACACATCATTCTTATAGTACATGCATCAGCATTTGCCTAGTGTTAACACTGTCTCATTCTGGAGCTGAGCCCACTTCAGTAGCAATGTGGTGGTGAATTTGCTGAGTTGTCTCAGGACAAACTGATCTTAGTCTTCCTGGTGTTCCTGATGGAGAATTCATTGTACTAGTCTAGCATTTGCATATAGTCATCAAATCTTAATATAATCTATTATTTATTTTATGATTCTAGTCGCATTTTGTACGTTTCATTTTTTGCATTGTAACAGGGAAATTTTAAGAATAGCATTTTTTTTTAATTACAATTGTTGAAATTTGTTTTATTTTATACTCATAAGTGAATACCCTTTTTATTGGGAGGCTACTGTAGATTCCTTATTTTAAAGAGTACTTGATATTGACGAGATGACAATTGCTGGAAAATGAAATCATGAGTGAAAGTTTTTTCCATGCATTTCAACAGTGTAAAACAAGTTTCTTTTGAGGCATGCCCCTTAGAAATTTTTTGATAATTCCTTGCATGTTTTTAGGAATTTAACAGTATCCTTACACTGCATTTTTATAGGGAGATTTTCTAAAAAGAAAACTGTTTTCTGCATTTTGATAAAACTATTGAATGTTTATTTTTAATTCCATATGATGGAATTTTTTTATAGACTAGAGTCATGAAATTGAAGTCTTGTGGCACAGTCTTAAGTTTGCTGAACCAAAAATTTAAATTTCTTAGTTATCAAGTCTTCTATTTTGACAAGGTCAATTTCACTTGGTTTTGGGGTGTAGAATTTGTGTCTGTAGCCCAGTATTTTAGGTTTTTAAGGTAACACAGAAGGTTATACTTGATCTGAAGTTTGGTTAAATTCAGTATTTATTTAGAAAAGGTCACAAAGTATAGGAGAAGAATATTGGTAAGACATTCTTGGTACAAATATAGCTTGTCAGTATTGTTTGGGTCTAGACTTTGTGAGAAAATTGTAGCTTGTACTTTTATCCATGAAATAAGGTATTCTCATACTCTACCATAGCAAGTGTAGAGCCACTATTAGGGGCCTTTAACCATTATGTTTAAACATGGTGAAGAGTTAAACTCCTAGATTTTCCAGTTTGTTTGTTTGTTAGTTTTTATCTTTGTTGTTAAGATTGTCTTAGATAGCAGGGATTTTCTTTCACTTAGAGGTATGATCAAGTATACCCTTTCTCGAGTTTCAATCTAAGGGTAAGTCAGGGTAAGCATAGCTGGGGTATGCCCTACTTCAGTACGTTAAACTTAGTCATTTAACTTTGATTTTTTTTAATATATATGTTATCAAATGTGTGTACCACTAAATATTTTAATTGTTATGTTGTTTGATTCTCAGTGAAGTGAGCTCTGTACATATTATTTTATAGGCATATAATGCTAAGGTCTATATAAAGCACAGCAAGTCCATTTGTGGGATATGGCTGGATTATTATGACTCATACAGCATTTTTGCTCTCATGTCTGTAAGCTAGTTGCCTGTACAATCAATAGTATCATCATTTACTTTCATAAAACTTTTTAAAAACTTGTTTTTAAGTATACTTTGGCATCTTTCAATAATCTGAAGATTCACAGAGAAAGTAGCTCTCAAGATTATTGAGATTCCACTGTATTCTACTTTTTTTTTATCACTTATGCTTTCAGTTAAGTGCACTTAGTTTAAATGTAAAAGCAACAAAAGAACTGTTTTCAGATATTTTGTTTAGAATTGAAACCTATCAAAGAGCAAAATCAAAGACTTCCATACATTTGCCTAGTCTTGCCCTTACTAACTAAATCTTTTTTTTTTTCCTTTTTGAGAAAAAGGTGTTTGGATTTTCAATGAAAAATTTTCTGTAGGATATAATTATAAAGGCTTTCTTTGTAAGTTTGGTTGCAATTGATTGCTGAGTAATTGTGATGTAAAAATAAGCTTTAATGTACAATATATATATATAGTTTGACGGAAGGGCAAGGTTTTTTAGTAGTTATGAAAAAGATTAAGGGTAAGATTGGCATCTGATAAATACTGTATGTATACTTACAACAAGGGGGGCTTCATATTTTAGCGGCTTTGGCACAGACAGTGATATGTTATTTCATGAATATCGCTAAGAAATCATTAACAAATACAATATACGACAAGGACATGTGCAACCCTAAATCATGATTAAGCAAACAACAAAATATCCATTGATTGCACTAAATTTTTAATATGCCAAATTATGTACACCTACAGTATCTACAGGAAATCTCAACTACTGTATCTATTAGTTCCTTGTAGTGGAACCTTGATCTACATGGTCAGGGTCTTTCACTCACTAGATTAGTCTGAGTACTTATTTTATGACTGGAACAGTGTCTCGGCCAAAGAGTCTATTACATATTACCAAAGATTAAACAAAGAAGCATGATACATGTACATGCTACATTCTTCTTTACTTAGCTTCATGCTAAATATTTATTTCATCTAATATCTATACAATTTGAAGTTACTCTGATGAGAATTATCTTTGGTGGTGAGATGCTCTTACTATTGAAAACAAATATACATAAAAATGAGATTTAGAGTAAAAATGATGGAATCCAGAAAAGAACAGAATTGAAGTGACCTTGTATTTCATTAAAATGTACATGTTGTTCTATGTATTGTTCTGTGTCTACCGAGATTGCATGCTGTAGACTTTTGGAATTTGTTGTTTGAAGGAAAGTGGTTAAAACAAAGGGCTTGTTATATATCAAGTAATTTATTTAATTCTTGACAAGTAGAAAATTTGGATCTATTCTTCACACAAGAGAGCATTTACCCATATTACCATGGTAATCCACATCAAGTTTGTCCTATTGTTCATACTTGTATTTTATAACCAAAAATGTGTATACAATCAAAATGGGAGGGGGGAGAGGGGTTATCTGTTTTTCTGTGTAGAAAGCAAGTATTTTTAATTACTCTACAGAAAATAACATTAATTAAGTCAAAACAAGTCTTATGTTTCAAAATTAGACTTGTGAGTACAAACTACTGACTTTACCCTAATTTATAATTTACTAATACAAGGTAACGTGTTTACAATCCATTCCATTATATAGATACCTAAAAATGTAATTTTTTGCTGCAATAATGTTTATAATAGTGTTATTTGTGCAATAATTTATGTGCCATTGTTAATTGATTCGTAAAATTATTTAAAAATTTGATGGTGATTGATTGTACTTTTAATTATAATGATTATTTATGTAAATGATTTTTTTTAAGAACACTTGTTTCCATTTGAAGTTGTGGGTAATTTTTATTGTTAAAAATGTAATGGGACTTCTTAAAGCCATATCATATGCTAATTATTTTTCAAAAATAAGGTTGGGAACAGGTATATTTGTAAGAAGCTAGGTGATATTGTAGTGTTGGTTGTTTGGAGTGGTATCTTGTTGTCATGGTACAGTGACGTCTTGTCACTTGTTCATTTTCCATCTGTAACCCGGTTCTGTTTGATGTTTCTTGTTAGTAGCCGAATTTTATATCCAATTTATAATTCACCTTATTGATAAAATGTGAATATGAATCATTTTGTGTCTTTAGTTGTGTTTCAACCAGGTAAAGAGCAAATCTAACGACTTATTGCTCTCCGTTTTAACTTCTTCTCAAGAACCACTGGGCCAATTTTAACCAAACTTGGAAATTAAATTGTTACAAGATAAGAAATACGCACGCTAACTCTCGATTCCCGCCTACATTTTGGAACCATTTAATTCAATATAAATAGCATTTTGGCTATAAAATCTTTGTTTAATACAAACAGTTCAATGGTAATTGATGAATTGTCTTAATACCAGTGCTAAACAGTAAATTATCCATAATTCCAGCTCTTGAAAAAAGGGCAGAAGACGATATTTTCCATTGAAATCGGAGTTTCATGCATCACCATATTTTGAAATAGTCTAGGATATGATTAAATATTCCTTATATCTTTTCTTATGTTTTAGGCAAATAAATAAAACAAAAATATATCAATAAAGTATAATGTTTCAGTTGTAAATCGCTTTGAAATTGTGGAAAATAAGCATTTTTATCAATTTTTGTCAATAAACATATGCCCCACAAAAAGCTTTGGTATGAATTTGTGAAATAACATTCCATATTATTACCTGTAAAAAGGAATTTTTGTGGCACGGGGAAAGGGGGGATGTTTTAAAAATATTTTTCTGTTGATTTCTATAGTGAAAACACAAGTTTTACCAAAATTTTAAAGTTATCTCTCTTTGTTTTCCCAAATAAGTAATGTTTTATAAAAATCCATATATATATATTAAAAATTCATTGAATATCTTAACTTTTGAACATTGACTTGGAGGTAGGCGGGAGAACAATATTATCGTTCGCAGTTCTTCAGAGATTTGTGTCCCCTGCTGAAGAGAAAAAAGAGGAGGATGCTCGGATTGGGGGTTCGACCCACCCCTTTCCCCTTTTGTATAATTATTAAATTATGTTCAGAAGCAAATAAAAAATGCCAATATGGATATAAAGATTTGACTGTTTAATATTTTAAATGTGTATACATGTATGAAGATTCTTATTTATCACACAATAACAATATTTTGTAAACGCCTTACGTCATAACTTCTTCATTTCAGATGCTAAATATCATTTAGTAAGGGCTTAATTGATAAAAAAAATTAAATATTTTATTTAGCTTATACATGTATTTCTTTTGTTCTCTACATGCACACCTCTCCGTCTTAGCCAACACAGATTAACCTTAGTTTTCTCTGTATATTTTTTCAAAATGTTGGCCAAATGGAAAACACCATTTTTAGTCATAAGAGCATGTGTTTAGTTATAGCTAATTATAACAAGAGGTCCAGGGGCCACATCGCTCACCTTAGAAACAGGCTCGGTGAAAGCAAAAATCAGTTCAGTATTGAAAAGTTTAAATATAGAATTGGATTCAGGGGAGGGGGGATTTGAACAAACTTAAATCTACACTTCCTATGGATGCTTTTAAATTAATATGACATATAATGGCTTTTTTAGCTCACCTGAGCTCCGTCTGTCTGTCCGTCTGTAAACTTTTCACATTTTCGACTTCTTCTCAAGAACCACTGGGCCAATTTTGAACAAACTTGGTAGAAAGCATCCTTGGGTAAGGGGAATATAAATTGTTAAAATGAAGGGCTAAGTCCCCTCACAAGGGGAGATAATCAAGAAAAGACAAAAATAGGGTGGGGTCATTAAAAAATCTTCTCAAGAACCACTGGGCCAGAAAAACTGAAACTTATGTGGAAGCATCCTTGGGTAGTGTAGATTTTAAATTGTTCAAATCATGACCCTCGGGGGTAGGGTGGGGCCACAATGGGGAATCAAAGTTTTACATAGAAATATATAGGAAAAATCTTTAAAAATCTTCTTCTCAAGAACCCCCTGGCCAGAAAAGCTGAAACTTATGTGGAAGCATCCTGGGGTAGTATAGATTCTAAATTGTCCAAATCATGACCCCAGGGGGTAGGGCGGGCCACAATGAGGAATCAAAGTTTAACATTGAAATATATAGGAAAAATCTTTAAAAATCTTCTCAAGAACCACTGGGCCAGAATAGCTGAAACTTATGTGGAAGCATCCTAGGGTAGTGTAGATTCTAAATTGTTAAAATCATGACCCCTGGGGGTAGGGCGGAGCCACAATGGGGAATCAAAGTTTTACAATGGGGAATCAAAGCATCCTATGGTAGTGTAGATTTCGAATTGTCTTAATTATGACCAGTGGGGTAGGGTGGGGTCACAATATGTATTACAAGGGGGAAATCTGGTAAAGAACAGAATGGTCAAAGCTTCTCAGGTGAGCGAAGTGGCCCATGGGCCTCTTGTTTGCTTTTTAAGATGAACATTTTTATTGATAAAGCCTTTATATCCCTTTGTTATGATCCACTCTAATGGCTCCTCTATTCTCCTGACTGGTCATGATTTGAACAAGTTGAAATCCACATTACCTTTTTTGATGCTTTTATGTTTATGATCAATCATGGCTTTGTTGTTCTTGTGAAGAATTTTAACTATTTCCCCAATGTATTCCTATGTAAAACCTTGTTCACCCATTGTGGCCCCACTCTACCCCTGGGGATCGTGATTTAAACAAACTTAAATCTATACTACACTGTTTGATGCTTCCATATAACTATGACCAATTATGGCTTTGCTGATTCTTGAGAAGAAGAATTTTAAAGACTTTTCTATGCAATATTCTACTTTGATCACCCATTATGGACCCACCCTTGCCACGGAGGTCATGATTTGAACGAACTTGAATCTACACTACCAGAGGATGCTTCCAAATAACTATGGCCAATCTTAGATTTGCTGTTCGTGAGAAGATTTTTCCTATGTATCCCTATGTAAAATTGTGACCCCCCAATGTGCCTCCATCCTACCCCCAGGGGCCATGATTTGAACAAATTTGAATCTACACTACATGAGGATGCTTCCACATGAGTTTCATCTTTCCTGGCCCAATGGTTCTTGAGAAGAAGATTTTTCTTATGTATTCCTATAAAATTTTGATCCCCCAATGTGCCTGCATGGCCATGATTTAAACAAACTTGAATCTACACTACCGGCATCGTTGCAAACCACGGCCAAAATGTACGATCCTCTTCGTAACTATGAATGTGTTAGGTGTTGGTTTGGTCCTAATTTTCCCATTTAACATTGTTAACATGTTTAGAGCCCCATAATTAACATTTACGGCAAACAATTGGCAATGACTGTTTCCTAAAGTTGAAGGCCTTAAGTAAACATGTTTGGTAAATGAACTACTACATATATTACTATGGTAACAAAGTATTCAGAAGTAAAATTAAATTTTTCATTGAATTTTATAAAGGCATACACGTAAAAATAAAAAGGCAATTATAGGATGGAATGTGACCAAATTGTAGAGAAAAAAGCCTTGAAACATGTACCAAGAACAAATTATGATATTTCATTTTGGATGGCAATGGTTGCCAAGGTTTTTATACCACAGAGAGCCTTCAAATTTACACTGTATGTTTAAATCTGTTCTTATCTTTTGAAAAAGCACATTTCCTCATAACTAACAAAAATGCCCTATTGTATTTTATAAGAGATGCCCAGAGGCCCTATCGTTGATCTAGGCAACTTTATACTTTCGCCAAATTTAGTAATTTTACAAAATCAAATACAAATCAAAAGATAAAGTACAAATAATTTTTTTTTTAATACTTTTTGGTTGGTATTAACGCTTTGAAAATATATAATTTGTTTTTCAAAGTGCGTTAACACTTAGTCCCTTTAAACCACTTTGTAAAAAAAATTTCAAAGTGCGTAATTATTAAAATGCTTTATAACACTGTTAATTTTGTTCTTGAATTTTGAGATTCAAATTTGTTATCCTCATATTTCATCTATTTGTCATATTGTAAATTTTTATGCAATCACATATCCATGTCATTTAAATAAAAGGGTTCCTGGAACAGATACCGGTTATATAGAAATAAAAATTGAAAACAAACATGTAGGACTGTTCATTTGAGAGTCACTAAATAGTCCCTATTTCCAAAAGAAAAGCCGGTTTTTCGAGGGAATCTCTCGACTGAGACAGGATTTTAAAAAATATATTTTCTCTCATTTATCGACTGAGAAGGGATTTAAAAAAAAATCACTCATGATTCGCACTCGTGAAAATATCAGAAAACGTATAAAATACCCTCTCTTAGTCTGAGAATTTTGACCTGAATAATGACCAAATCGTCAGTCAACGTTCAACTTGACGATAGTTGATGGTATTGGTAAACACGAAAAAGTTTTCTTTAAACGAGGTTGTATCGGCAGAATAGACCCTCTACGAGATTGTTGATTTCTTTGAATCTTCAACTTATTTGTCAGTGGCTTGCCTCGTTTTAGAAATTGTTCATTCGAAGTAACGTCCTTTCCATTTGAATTAACTGGAAGACACAAACAATGGTGCATTACTACATAAGTAGGAGAAGTTGTAAAGTTAAGTCTAACATTATTAACCTAGATAAAGGGAATCAATACTAAATGTATATTAATATTTCATTTTCTTAATTTATGTGTTTTCGCGCACATTTCTTATTATAAAATAATTAATAGGCACTACCATTTACTTTATTGTCCCCCGCTTTCGCGAAAGCGAGGGGACATTAAATCTCATTCGTCTGTCTGTCTGTCCGTCAGTCTGTCCGTTACAAAAACTTTAACCTTGCCCATAACTTTTGATTTAGTGGAGCTATGACTTTCATATTTCACAAGTGTATTCCTTGTGACAAGACCTTTCTTTGGGTACCACCAAATTTGACCTTTTGACCTTGACCTTGGAGTTTGACCCACTTTTACACAAAAATTCCAAACTTTTACTTTGGCCATAACATTTGAATAGTAGTTACTAGGACTTTCATATTTCACATATGTATTGTTTGTGGCAAAACCTTTCATTGGATAACAACAACCTTGACCTTTTGACCTTGATTTTGGAGATTTACGTACTTATGAAAAAACTTTAACCTTGACCATAACTTTTGAACGGTGAGGACGA